GCAGCACCATCATCGTCCACTCATCGAGACAATCGGCGCGTGGGCCGCATATACACCGCGATGTGTACATTAATATATTATTGTGGTACATATTATAATAACAGATAACGGTAAGTGTGCCGTTTCCGAACTTGTTCTCGATTTAATAAATATCATAGTAACAATTATCACTCGTATAATTTTATTCCACCGATGATAGGCGAAAACGAAAATACCTAATTTAACAGTTTTATATAAAAGCAGCGGTCAGGTATAAATATAAATACAATATATATATTGTGTTTATATAGAGGTAGCGAGACCGACTTGAAATCCTTTTTTTTGGGGGGGGGGGGGCAAGATTTCGACATTTTGACGACAATATTATAAAATCCGATCGCCCGCGGTTCATGTATTGTACAAATTTATATTTGGCTAATGATTCGGTCGAATAATAATACAAGAGTTAAAGAGTCATGTTAATTGTTAATACTATATTATGCCAACGGTAGTAAATAAATGTATTGTGCTGAACCCGACGTTTCCGAGTACAAAAAGAAATGTTTTTAATTATCAATTATGCAATTAACATACTTTTTTAAATATTGCTTTTAATGCTTACACAATACAAATTGTTTAGGTACTATAATGGATATATTATGTATAAATCTATAATAAAATATTACCTATGTATATTATACATATTATACTGTTGTTCCCACTTGTAGGCAGGTACTTAGGCTGATGATTGATCGTTGTTCAAACAAACACGCATAAATATTATTATTTAATAACCCTCCAAATTATGTATACTTATACATAGCAAGAATCCTTCGGATGACACACTGTAAACAACAAAAACGAGGACAACAATAAAACGTCAAAAATCTTTTTAGGTTTTTTAAAATTTGTAACAGAAATAGAAAAATAATAGGTACTCATGTTGTACTATTTAATATACTGTATAAATTGTATACGCGTGTGTACAGTCTGAGTCAGTATTTCACTTGAAAATTCAGCAATAACCCTATCTTGGACCGTGTATACCCATTATTTCACACGTATACAATATCGCCACCGCGTAGGCGTGCGTTCAAGTCTCTGCAGCACCGATGGGTCCAACGACTTCTAGTTGTCTGGGATTGTAAATAATGGATTCTGACCGGTGTATATAACATTGTGTCGACTGTGTCGATATAGATTCGTTTTTCACGCTGTTGTTGTATATTCGATCTTTTATTATTATTATTATCTATAGTATATTTATATTATATATATAGTCCATATAGCTGCGCTGGAGTACCTATCTATAGAATTACATTCATATATCATAAAAAAAATATAATATTGTGATAGAGACGTTAAAATATATAGGTAGACATTAAAATAGATTTTATTTCATTACTAAATAGTAAATTGTACTTAATTTCAAATGACCAAAAATGTATTAATATATTTATTATTTTAATATAAGTACATAACTTGTATTTAAATCGCTAACATTTCTAATTCAATATAATGCTTAAAATAATGCTATGACACAATATAAAAAAAAATGTAGGTATATATGTGACTAATGACTATATAACCCATCTCCGAATAATACATATTGTATCTATATAATATATATTATATTTAATAATAATATAATATTATGTACAGACAATTAATGATTTTGTTCTTACGAATTTCATTTTTTATAGCTCTTCTGCCGGTGGTAACCGAAACGGAACCACAACCAATATAATCACTTTTTATATTATATAAGGCCCAATGTCGGTTCATAATGTTTATATACTAATAGAGTATACTCTACTATAAATAAATAGCTAGTACCTAATATGTTCAGAAAATCATAATATACCTATACTTGAATATTCGATATCTATATTCTGTATAGGTATTTTGTATAGTACCAAGATAATATATAATATACCATCACACGGTAATTTCAGATGTTTCGGTAGGTTACGGGTGCCGGTAAACAAAGTTTTTATGAAAGTACCGAGGAGAATTTTGTAAACGCCTCACGACAACGGCATACCTACACGAATAAAATTAAATATAATATAATCTTTTTTTCGATGTCTATACTATATATACTGTATAATGATAAATATCCTTTGATATCGGTTAATATGACCAAAGATAAAACCACGAACAGAATATCCATATTCCGTGACCGGACTTAAGAAGGAATTCGGACCCCGAGGACACGAATATACACGCGAGATGAAAAACGTTACCAAGGTTGCCTATGTTTTTCGATAATATAAATATCGTACTATATATATATGAGTAACGTTTAGTTGTCTGCATTGTTTCTTTCCCTGCAAACACTGACTGCAGTCATAAGGTTTTGAAAGTATAGAAACACGTCTTGGCGAAAAGAAATAATTTTCAACTGATATAATAATAATTATATTGATATAAGTTTTCGTAAAAGATGTTACATCCTATATACAAAAACGTACAGAGTTATTACAACTACACACTGACTGAAAGTAGGTGCTGAGAGCTGACCACAGCACGTATTCCTAAAACGATTAACGTTTGGTCGTATATACATAAGCCATTGTTATTTGTTAGAGGTCCCTTTGCCAAACAGTTTTCACTGGTTTCTTAATAGTAGATACCTATAAATACCATATATGCTGCAGTACAATATATACATACATAATTAAGTTGAAAGTGACTATATTATCATAATATGTAGTTTTGGACACACATAACATTTGTAATATATCTATATATGTATATCTATATACAACATTTCACTACCTATACAATATCATCGTATCCATCATAACAGGAAAAAAATATTGGTACCTAATAATATATACTTATACAAAATATAAAAAAATATAATTTCTAAATTATCAATTCATGTATAATATTATTGTTTATTGTATAGATTGATCGTACGTATAGGTTATCAATTTGAATTCCGATGTATCTTTTTATAAAAATAAACAATAACCATACTAGAAGAGGACAATATAAAAGCGTGTAAATCCTTCACTTGCATTAAGCTCGACGGGAAAAATACTTATTATTATTTATTAATCTTAAATCAACACAGTTATTGGCTGTAGTATAATTATTTAAATAAAACGAAACCATCATAATAACTAAATTTCTATGTTAAGTGCCTTTCAAAAGCACATAGGTGCTTTATAATAGCTCGTGTCCTAATAGGATGACACCTTAACGGTGATGTGTTCCAGTCGTCTGTCATTATGGCATTGTGTGTGTCTCCGCCTCTAAATATTATATTATGTGAATGTGACGCATTGACGCCTATGGCTGTCGTGACAATGGAAAATACGCCGTTAAAGATTACATTTTGCACCGTTTTTCATGTATATGTACAGGTTGGTACGCGATACATTTCAGTCGCCGTGGAATTCGACACGGACAAATATTTTACTGTCATAATAATACATATTTCGTTATTCGTATAATATCATAATATAGAGTCGATGCAATATAATATATTAAGCAGCCGATAAACGTATTTGTATGATATAATATTATTATTACGTTGTTGTGTATTGGACTTTGTGATCACGTTTTGGTCGTAAACGACGCTGCAGCAGTAAACTATTTTACCATTTTACCAAACCGTGTAAAACGGTAAAGGTCAATCACGTGGCCATGATTGATTCGAAGGAATCCGCCTGCATAGTGAAAGTGTCGGGGTTTCAACGATAATATTCCAGTTGCACAGGCATATCCGATGTTGCTTACCCGTAGATCAACGAACTAGAATATTATAAAATGTATTATATAATATATATATCAATCGACTGCTATAGTAACCTATATATATCAGCTATATTTTGCTTATATTATGAAAATGGTAGATTATAATTTATAAGTCGCACTCGCTCTTTGACACAAACCCCACGTGAATTCATTCAGACTATTAATTGAATAACAATAAAACGAAAAATTATAATCGTATTAAATATACAATTTATATATGTTAATAGCCATCACATACCGATCACATACCGAATCGTAATAATATTTTTATACACATTATACTTTATTAATACATATAATATAATATTATATTATGTGATGGCTTACGTGGCTTTTATACCTACCATACATACCGTCAATCTACCCCCGAGCCAATGGATTTTATTAACATCATTAATTTTGTCCACGCGGTCCATTGTGCACTGTAACTAAGAAATATGCCTGGCATTGATTAATACGAATAGAAGTGCTTCCTACGTCTACCACACATGCCTATCCAAAATGCAATCCAACCTCAATAGTATTATTATTATTATTGTTATTGTAATGGGGTTTATCGGAATTCTATATTATGTACTTATTATTGTTCATTTAAACGCGTCCTTCGTACGTCGTGGCAGTGACCTTCATAGTCATAAATATTCCAGAGTCATAAACGAACAGCTAACAAGAGAATAGTTGTACATGTCTTCTACAGAAATACGATATAAGTACATGTGTATACCTATTACCTACCAACTATACATATATATTATAATATATATTTAATATATATATATTGTAGAATGTACCACGCGTGTTTACATAATTAGACTATACAGTTGAGCTGAGTACCTAACCTAGTTTAAGGACCGTCAATTATATTTTTGACATGATGCTATAATTGAAATTAATATATTATTTTACTCGTATTTATATATAATTATACTATATAGACGCAAATTATACTTGGAAGGTTATTTTAATTAGTTGATTGACATTTATTAATTCCAAAGACTGAACTGGACAAAGAAATGGAATAGTTTTCAGTGTTTTTGCATATTTAGTATTCACATAAACTGTGTATATTATGAACATGTTATTAAAATTAATAAAGGGGTTAATATTTATTATACATGAAAAAAAATGTGTTCACCACTTAAACTTAATTATAACTGCCCTTTTTCATAAATTATATTTTTTGAACATGTGGAAAAAATAATTTTATGACATCAAAAAGACTTACACCAACTTTTTTTTGTTTTTTGTTATAGGCTTACCAAGAAGCAATACAGAGCAAACGAGACATCCGTGAAGCTCTTGAAGAAGCCAATCACAAGTTAGTTCATGTAAACAGCACTGGACCCAGAGTAGTGCATCAGAGTACCAAAAATAAAAAAGTGACAGACACAGAAGATACTAGACACACAAGAGAAGTTCAAAAAGACGGTAAAATAGTTACAGAAACATCAAAAACCACAGAGCATGAAGAGGTAATGTAATTCTATTTTCTAGTTGTAACTATTTAATTATTGTATCCATTTAAAAGTATAATAAATTTAAAGTTTTAACTATATTCCGAAATGTACTACTTCGTAGGAATAATTAGTTTTATCATTTACTATACTTTAATATATTGTCATAAATATTTTATTTTTTTACAATCAACATATAATTTGTACACAGTACGATAATATGTATTTTACTTTCCCAAATTAATATTATAAAAAATTACATTTATTGGATCCTCTTCTATATTCACTATTGGCACGTGTTTTAGAAAATATTTCTATATTTTGGACTTCTTCCAATTATAAGTACCTGTATATTTAAGTTTCATTCGTCGAATTTATGAATTTTAATAACTAACAATTATGTTTCGCTTTCAAATAATGTTATAACTTCGATTGGTATAATCGCATATAATACAAATTAATTGTTCTTTTCATAGGTAAACGGGGTTGATGAACCAGACAGTGTTCCTTTGCCACCTTCAGCACTACAAGAGTCGCTAGCGTGAAAGTTCGCATCGATACGCCAAGACTAAGGATCAGGAGTTGGTCGAGTATTTAGCGGATGGTGAGAAAATTGGAGAGCAAATGCGTTACGAAGCGACCAATGAAGAAGGAGATCGACTTGGTGACATCAATCAACTGCAGATGATGACAAATGCAGGCGAGTTGGTAGGTTGGGAGAGCTTATCGGAAAGAATACGCAAGATGCGTGATAGACAACAGCATCCGGTTGCCGGGAAAACTCTTGCGGACTTCGATGAAGAAGAACGTACTAGAAAAGTTAGTAGAAGACAATGATAGTATATTTACTTTCAATAATTATAATTGTTTAATGACTAATAATATGTTTTCTATAGGTGGAAACAGCTAAATGGCTAGAACATCATTTTGGTAGCGAATCAACCAGGTCGTCTACTGGAAACTTATCAGAAGAAGAAGAAGAGGATGATCGAGGTCATCAAAAGACAACGTCCAATAGTTTCATTAACGTGACTATGAAATCAACAGAGACTCCAGCCAATGGATACTTCAAAGGAGTGTCCGAATGGAAAAATAATGATTCGGCACCTATCAGACCCCCAATTAGAAGAAAAAGAGAACAAAAAACCGAAATTATTAAAAACACTGTCAATGAATTAGAGTCATCTCCATTGTTCAATTCAGTTCAACAAAGGGTCCAGGGATACGAAATGACAAAAGATAAATTGTCTGGACGTAATGCGATAAATGGGTTTAACCAATCGCATCACAACGGATATGTTCAGGTGAGATATTCATTAACCATTTACAGTTTTTTCATTCATCCTTTTTAATACCTACACTTAAACTTAGTATTATAATATTTTCTTTTTATATAAATAAGACCAATACGTATAGTAAACTAGTACCTATATAAAATATGTTATAATATGTAAAAAAAAAGTGACATGCGCCTTAGCTAGATATGTAAGTAGGCAATACACACAAACCTAACTCATTAATATTTTAGTATTTATATCATTGTCATTCATTGATTAAATAAATAAATATATTAACTTTCAATGAATAATAATGACTATGTACTATACTACTATATATGTATATTATATATGAAAACATAAAATAACATTTAGATGAAGTCTAAAACTCCAGTTGATATTTATATAGGTATCTAAGTATTGGAAGTATACCAAGTAGGTACTTAATTAAATTTATTGTTAGCCGCTTTATCATGGTCAACCCTTCATTTAAGGTTCAAATATTTCAAGAATACATTCTTCGATTGAAATTCGATATGGAAGCCAATTTTGAGCTTGAAGATGTTTTAGATAAACATCTAAAGTAAAGAAAAAACTGAAACATGAACCACTCCCTAAAATATTAAATATATCTAGTACCAGTAGTACCTACAGACAAAAAACTGATATGCTAGAGCTAAATTTATACTTGCCAATCATTTATAGAGACCATCTAGTGATCTAGTCCGGACTTCTATAATATCAATATTCAATAAACTTTATGTTAAATGTTAATAATTTCAAATTTGCATTATACATTTAAATTTAAATCCTTTTAAAGTATATAAATATTAACTATATTAATAACCTTATAATTGTAAAACATAACATTAATTATTATGTATAATATGTATTATACATACGAATTTTATAATAAAAAATGTTGTCAGTTATAATTAGCTACTATAGATACTTTAAATGTGCAAAAAAAACTGTTAAGTTCTGTAGATAACATTTTAAATTAAGATACTTTTAAAAAATAAAAAAAACAATAAATTCAGCTTTTATAAGTGGACAATTATTCTTGTAATGTGACATATACCTAATATTATGTGTTTTTTGTAGCTATATAGGTACTTATTGTAGGCTGTACCTATGGCTATTGAAAAAGTAATATATTTTCTATGATTTAAAAATATATCTACCTTTAAATATTCATTATTATTGTAATTTCTCAGATATTTTTCGAAAAAGTGAATTTTTCAACATTAATGCATAAAACTAATTTCATAGACTTTTACTTTTTATTATAAATTATGATGTTGTATAAGTATTAAAATGTTTAAAGTATCATACTATCATTATCATAATGTACTCTATATTTTGATACATTAATTGATAAATCATATCTTTGTTTCTTATAATTTTTATAAATATTTTAAATTATGGTCCATAAATTTAAAAGTATGGCCCTGTAATTAAATAAATCCAATTATTTGTCACATTTTCTACTTTGGTTGTCAATTTAATTACTTAACTAAATATAATAGTATTTAGTTAAAATATTGCATCTACGTTTGTAACAGACAATGAAATAAGATAATTCTTAAAAAAATGCTTGATAAAAAGTTATATATTATAATATGTAGGTATATAGTTAAATATTATGTATTATATATTATGTATAACGTATAATAGCTATAATAATTTAAAGTAATAAATAAACAGGTTTAAAAAAATGTGTCGTAATACCATTCTTCGGATACCTATTTTATAAAGTAGAGATTGAGATCGAGATTAAAATTAAAATTTTTCATTTAGGTATACCATAATAATTATTATAGTAATATAGCAGGAAACAAAAGTATAGGTTTAATATATAAATTGAACAATTTATAAAGTATTCGTCAACATAGGATATTGGTTTTCTTATGATGTATTTGAGATTAAGCTAATTCTATATACTAAAATATACAAATCGTTAAATATACATTGTATATATCATACCTCCTAATTAACATTTTTAATGAAATATTATATGTAAATTAGTTATTATAGTATTATATTGTCACTATTAATCAATTTCGATAGGTATATTTTTTAAACGTACAGTAGGTACTCATTTATAGGTATTAAATTCAGTTTAATGAACGATACTATTTAATATGACACTCGTATCGAATTTTTGTGGAGATTATAATATATTATGCTTTAAATACGTTAACGGAAACAATCCGTTTTGTACCAGTCCACTTAAATGTTAAGCGTTCTGCTTAAAAAATATAAAAATATCCCATATGAAATCAAGTCATGTTCATCAAAACAGTACCTCTAACTACGATTACGGTTATTTAATTGTACACCTGTAACAGCACTGTTATGATGCGACACGACGATGATGATGAACGCGATGTTTGTCTGCAGTATGGGAGGAGGGGGGCTGGCAGGGAGAGGCAGTCGTGGTTTGGCTCAAACTTTGCGGATAAGATATAAAATCTTCTTGTTCTTAATACATATAATTAGGATAATAAAAATGATGTAATGATAATAATAATAATAATAACGACTCTGACGATTATTGCGTTGAACGGCGAGTTAATTTTTTTTTCATTATTCTTATTAAAACGATGATCGTAATATATTTTTCGCATTCCTGCAGACTGTGGCTGCCGACAGACGTCACGACGCAACCGATTCGCCGGCGCCGTCGGACCCATACCGGTCGTGGGACCACCGCCGGCGGCGATCGGCGGACGGCCACCGCAATAACAAACCGACGGCCACGGTGGCGCCAGAACCGAAACCAGACTATTCGCCGGAACCCGAACGGCGGGCCAGCAACGGGTCGTCGACGGCGGGCGGCCGTTCGAAAAAGGTGTACCAGAAGACGAGGTTTGCTGCGGACGCGCGGCCGGCGCCCGACAACGGCGGCAACGGCAAACAGGAGCGGAAGAAATCGTTTGGCGAGTCGTTCCGGAGGCTGGTGGGAAAGTTCACAGGCGGGCACGGCAACAAGTCGGACGCCGATCGGAAGAAAACCCGGAAGAAACCGGAATCGGCCGAGCGACGGCCCGCCGACAGCGGCGACGACGGCGACTACGGTTACGGCGGCGGCGACGGCGAGAACACCTACAGGAGTTACGACGGCGGCGTCAGGCCAGCCGCGGACCGTCATCAGCGGTTGTTCGGCAGCACGCAGACCTTGGACAGACACCGAGCTGGACGGACGGTCGACAACAACCGTAGCAGGGCGCGCGACGAATACGACGACTACGACGAAGACGACGGCGACGACGAAGGACACCATCGCGAAGACGACGACGGTCACCGGTACAACGATCATCACCGCGGTCAGGACGCCAGAGGACAATCGCCGGTGATGAACGGCGGCGGCAGGACCGGCAACGGCGTGCACAGATACTACTTGGGCGAGGACCCGTTCGGCGGCAGCATTTACGGCCGCGAGAGGGAATACGACGGCGGCAAGCGCAGACCGCATAAGAAGAACGGCGGCGGCGGCACTTACGACTCACCGCAACACCATCACCACACTCATTACGTCCAGAGGTAATATTTAAATCCCTGCCACGTTATTATCCTTAAGCGTCGCTATAGTTAGTGCGGTTCCTGCACCATAATAATAATATGGGTTTTTTGCGCATTTTGTGCGCAGCCTAGACTCGACAGTCCCCAACGCTGTTTTAGATGTATTTTGGTGAACATTTTTTTTTTTTATCATTATTAAGATAATCCAACTCCAATTCACAAGACTAAATTCAACTTTAATTATTGACAATATCGGGGAATTAAAAACTATTATAATAATATAGCCTAGCCAAATATAAGAACTATACGAGATTAAGATAAATACGTGTACTAAGCATATTAAAGTGACCGTATTTTTCCGTTAATACGATTTTTGAATTTTCATTTAAGTTATTTAGTTTGTAAAATACTAGTTGATCGATCTCGCATTATTAAAACAATATATTATATTTATTGAAACTGTTGTAAGAAAAATAATTAAACAAAGGACTCGAGTATACCTATTTATTGTAATTTATATAAAACTTAATTAAATATTTTATAATATTTAACTCTGATAAGTGACATAAGTATATTAGCTATATTAATTATTTTGAAGAAATATAGGTACTTACTACTCACCAAGTTGATTATGTTGTATTACTAATTATATACAAATTTAAAATGTACATTTTCAATTATTATTATAGAATATAAATTATATTACTAAAATTGCGTCCTAATGATAATTTTTAATATAATATCCTAATGTATAATGGACCTTGCGACAATTAATTATTTGTATTATATAAAAAATAGTATTAGCCATTATAGGTGCCTAAAATTATTTTTTTATACTAGTTCACAATAAAATAAAGAGAAAAACAATATAATATAGTTACTTATTACTTCTATAAACATATTTGTGCGCAATTTATAATATCTTTATGCCTACGAGTCATATTATGGTCACAGTGCATGTTGACTAAATTGTTGCTTATCGATTTACAATATTTTCGATCGATATTACAATTTCGCTACAATGACAATAATAAAAATAATCCGCAATCATTTCCATTGTTGTTTATACGATTCAGCACCACAAGATAGCAAAAAAACGACGGCCCTACGCTATACATATACATAATATATCGTATCGTAATAACAATCAACCGTGTATAACATTATTAGCATAGAATGGAACACTCCTATAAATATTAAAACGCCAACATGATTATTAGCCTGTTATTTTTTTTTTTTCGTATCCACAAGAAGGCTGGCGAAAATTGATAAACGCACACGGGACTCGATCGTCAGTGCCGTGTGCTAATATCTTAAAAAGGCGAAACCTGTTTTTATTTTTAAAAATAAAGTATAATATGTATTATTAATTGCTACAAGCCGATTTCGCACGAGGCGTGTCTCGTGTCTGTTGTCGTCGTTATGTTATTATTATTATATTATTTGCGTGTGCCGTGTGCGAATGAAAGTGAACTGTGCAGGCTGCAATTTCCCCGCGTGAGGGAGACACGCCACAGAATTTACTTATAGATTTTACGTAGGCCGCAGACGATTTCACTGAAATTAACGGAAGCTTTGACACACAATCAATCTTATAGTGATATTTGCGATAGTTTATGATGTGGCCGAATTACATTACGCACGCAACACACATCGAACTAGATTATTGAGCGCAGACGAAAATCCACTCGATTAGAAATAATATTTAGATTTAAATATTATATTTTATTTTAATATTGAGTATCGAGATAAAAACAATATGTACAGTCTCAGAAAATTCGAGATGCAGTCCGGCGCAATCCAAACAAATACATAATATTTTTTCGGTTAGCATTTATATTTTATATATACCTATATACTACTTGAGCTAATGGTTAATACCAATTGGAAATATTTAATTAAAATATTGACGATTGCTGTTCACGGTTTAAGTCTACACCACTTTTTTTATCGTGCAAAATACGCTACCAACGTTTTGTGTAATTTCGCGTACAAGAAGATTTAATTTGCAATTACTAATTTTTAAACTAATAACAAATTATTGGTTCATAATGAATATTTATATAATTCCTCCACATTGTACCTATTTCATTTCCGTACAAATAATAAGTATAGTTAATATTATATTATTATTTATAACTTTCAATTGGATTTGTAATTCTAACGTTAAGCCCTAAAAGAGTTTCTAAATTTCTAATTAGTAATTTAATTTGTATTTAATTAATTTATGTATCATCTCTAATCTAATAAGTTACTAAAGTACCCATTATTATTTTACGAATATGGGTAATTGAATTTTCTGAGTGTGAGTTTCTGGTTTGACATTTTCTATGGTTAGGTTGGGTTAGTCGTAGGTAGGTCTCATAGAAATGTTTTAATAATTAACAAATTATAATAAAATATTAGTCATGGTTATAGAGGATTATATAGGATTACGCGTATTAGACATATTATACTAATCATTAGACGAATATCCTTAGGCTATATTATTAAAACCGACCTTGGATTTAGATACTACCTATATTAATATAATCATTCAAAATTGGCAACGGACAAGTATTTTAATTGTTATAGCATGTAGACACAATCCTAGTAGGTACAGTGACCACCGTGATACCTAGTTACCATCGCAGTAACACACGCAGTTTAGTCGTTTAGACAATTTCGAAACAAATTGTGCGACACTATTACGCACTATGGCTAGTTGATAGTCCGTTTTCGGTGCTTTCAAGGTCGAGGCACGGCACTTCATTTACGTAGGGACCAATTATTCACGAGAAAAAAATATGCAATTAATTTGAAACACTGCGCGTTGTAACACACCTACGTCCTGTTTCCAACCTAAACCTACCTGATGACATACATCGTCTAGTTTTGACTTGTTTACGTTTGTTTTCCACGAGATATATTTCCACGGACAGCACGCAGAAAACGCCCACGTCAAAAATCCAAATCAGGATATAAACCACTACCTCTTATTTCCTACGATAATGTCACAATAACTTGACTAGATAGCGCAATTTATTATCAAAACACATTTTATAATAGAATTAGATTTAAAAAAAAATTGTAGGTAGGTATACCTATACTAGAGTATTATTAGTACACATGAATGACCGCAAGTAGCTGGTACATAGTTATTAAGTAGGTAAATGATTTTTTATTACCACCGATAGTATCATATTGTATTGGTAGGTCCCTATTACACTACATTTCAAAAATACATTTTAGTTGTGAAATTACATCGTGCGTGGTTAATATGCTATTGTCTATTACAAATTAAAATTATCCTATAAAACTCAAACAAAAATATTGAATCAATAATGACAAACCGTTATAATATAACAATTATATAAATATAACTGTTAATATAATATCATCGTAATATTATTATGATGATGTTATTTAGTAATTATAATTTATAGTCGTATATTATGTAGAGTCGTATAGACTAAATAATAAATGTTTCAGGACTATACCAGTGAACACGACTAGTACTACATTGGGTCGGTTTAGTAAGTCTACAGGACGTCTGTTAGCTGACGATAACAACAGTAACGTGTCGGACAGAGCACAAACGCTACCCAGGAAACTTCGAACGGAGAGCAAAATAAAAAAACAGGTACATAAAGCTATATTAAAATCGTTTGTACAGTTTAACTATGCTATTAAGTATTATTGTCTACATCTATTTAATTGAAATTTTTTTCGGAAACCAATGTATTAGTATTACATTATTACGAGTTAAGAACGACGTTGCAAAAATTAATTGCCGGAAATCATTAGTTTATAAGTTAAAGCCTTACAAAGTTCACGATTTTTGGTGTTTTACGCATTCGTACAACTCAATATTTTATTGGGAGTTTGGAACTTTTCTGTTTTACTGAACAACCTTTTTTGTTTTAACGTAAGTACCTAACTATATGTAGTTAAGCATCCTAAAAATTATGTTGAATTTGGAATTCGAAACTATAACATATTTCTAGTAAGCGTTCACAGAATAAAAAATGTTAAACTATCTCTTCATTAAATGAGCGCAGATCGGGCAATATCCCGATTTCGAACTTTTTGACAATTTGATCTTTAAAGTCAATTATATTATCTTCTCGATATAGTAAATTAATGTCAGGTGATTCATTTAACGTGAAACATTCATTATTTCAAGAACGTTTAACGTTTTTCAAAATATTTTTTTTTACATAGATGCAAAACAACATTTCAAAAAAAAAAAATTACTTTTTTAAATAACAACATACATTTTCAATTGCATATTCAGGAGCAGAACATTATTCGGAGTCTTTCAATGTATAAAATTTAATTTCGTTCGTGAACTTCGTTAATTATAACTTTATAAGTATTTAAAGTACGAGGGAGTAGTGGTACCAACATTTTCCTGAGTAAGTACCCAAGCACGTGTGCAACTCCACTTCGCGGCCGGTCAGCAAAACTTTAAATTTATTTTGTAATACCTATATTTATCCAACATTTGATTTTTATGCATCGATAATATTCTGCTCTCGAACAGAAAATTAAAAATGTATGTTGCTTTTAAAAAAAGTGAAAGACTTCAAAAACGATAACGATGAAAACTTAGTAAAAAATATCATTTTTTCAAACATTTTGTTCTGTAACGTGTTACGTGTACAAACGCGTTAAGAATTTTTAAAATAATGAGTGTATATACATCTATCACCGAGCAGTATAAGGCCATATAAATTATAACTTATAACAGACGGTGTCACTAAAACACTGATAAACGATAATACTATATCGGCATCGTTACTATGTCACAGGTACACGCGTCCCGGGAGAACGATTACGGCGGCGTTACGAACCGGTCGGCAGCCAACTCCGGGAGCATGATCAACGTGTCGTTCGCCAACGGGCCGACGAAACCGCAGCGGACGTTCTCGAAACCGTCGTTGCTCCGGAGCCAGAGCTTCAACGTGCAGCCGGACCCTGGACACCAGACGCGACGGTCGGTGAGCACGTTGCACCGGCTGGAAGAGTCACCGCCGCCGCTGAAGAGTCCGAACATCGTGAGCATGTTGAGCAGGAGCACCAAGGACCTGTCGGTGGGCGCGGACGACGGGTATAGATCGCTGTCCGGCAGCTGGGCCAGCCCGGGAGAGCTGAGCAACGGCGGCGGCGGCGGCACTGGCACTGCGTATCGGCGGGACGATCCGAAGAAAAAGATCTTCATGAAGGGCCTGCTGGACCACGCTCCCGAGCTGTACAAGACGCTCAGCCACCAGGAGGACGCGACCACCACCAGCCGGCGGTATTCGCCCGTCAAGATGGACAGACCATCGTATTCGAGCAGCGGCCACTCGTCGTCGCCAACCATCAGGCACGGAGGCGGTGAAGTGACCAACCGGAGCGTGGTACGCCGTGGCAGCAAGGACGATTACACCGAGACGGTGCGGATCACGTCCAAGTCGGACGACCCGTACCGGCCGAGTGTCACCAACACGGTGCAGAACTTCACGAAGAAAAAGGTGCCCAGGGACGGCCGGGTGGAGACCATTGAGTCGACCGAGACAAAGACGGTGACCAAGAGTCGGTACAACGGCGGCAGTGGCGGCGACACCATCAACGGGTACAACGGCATCGGCGGCGGAGGAGTGGTGATCGAGGTCAGGAACGGCAGGAACTGATTATATAATAATAATACAGTGAAACCTCTAAATACCGGTCGCTGACATTCTGTTAGCCTTTCGGAGTTGTCAGAGGGTTCAGCTTATTCCCAAAAAACGTCCACAATTTGGACATGTCTTTGAGGAGAGGTTTCACTGTAATGATTAATTATTGATTATATAAATGAGGGGTCAGCCGTTTGTTGTTATTGTTATCATTGACACCGCCGATCGTTATTATAATAATATAATATTATGACGTATTACACATACACTTATATTACTATTAATAACTAAAAATATTATAATTTATGCAAGAAAATAATATACAATACTATATAATATTATTGTTTTTACTGGTAAATACCTAATATAATACTTTGTTATTAGCTCTATAATACACCTAGTACCTAGGTATACCTATAAATAATATAATAATATTATGTATTTATGACATAATCGTATGGATCATAGCTGTTTCTATGATCATAATCGATAATATAATTAATTATACGTATATTTTTTTGTACCTATCTAATTGTTTTTAACATAATATTATCATTGTATCATTATGATACAGAGTTAATAATTACTGTAATACTTTATAGGTACCTATATATTACACTAAAGCACCGGTAACAAGAACCGATGCCATTAATATATTTTATATTTTATTTTATTATTACTACTAATGAAAAAAATATAAAACTGTCCATACTAATTTATTTTTAAAAGATTTTATTTAAGTATAGTTAATTGTGTCGCACACGTGTAAGTACTAAAAAATTGTAAATAATTATTGTTTTATTATAATATCGCTCAATAATTTTGTGATTTTTTTTTGTATGTACTATGAGTGATTTAAATGAATGTAAGAGTATAAGGTGTTAATAAAAATTAACTCTACTCATGTATGTTTATACTGTGTTTTACATAAAATATATATATACTATCTTAAAAAAAAAAATAATTGATATTCCCCACAAATGATTAATTATTTATAAGAATTTACTACCTATTACCTACTCATTAGGTTGTCAATACTCGATCCCAAATATATAACATTAAAATAAGTAGGGTTACCTTTTGTTTACATTTTTCATTGTATAATACATTAAAAAATACACTAGTTATTTTCAATTCAACTACCTACCTACACATATTTGAATGCATTATACAATGTGTGTATAGGTAGGTATACTTATACCATATTTTTAACAGGTGCACAGCCAGATATTTTTAACGGAGCAGCAGCTCCAGGCCATAGTTTTTTCTATATGGGTCATCTAAAAAAATTTAACTCTAAGGTATTTAACATGTCAACTTTTCATTAATGACAAAAAATTAGTAGGCATACATTTTTATTTTATTGCCATAACTTGAGTATAATTTGTCTTAGGTAGGTATATATTTATTAAATATACAATTAACTTAATGCACAAATGCATAACAATTACCTATGTATAAAATATTAAAGTACCAAATAATGTCAACTATTAATTAACACGACAATATTGTTCTTCTGTTATTGTAGAAAGAAGCCAATTCACCAACAACCATTTCCAGAATAAGAGCTTTTGAAGTTTTTATTTCATTTCCATTGTATCAACATAATTTAATATTTAACATTTGCTTCAGAATTCAGATAAGTTATCATTTTTGAACGACTTTAAAAGATTTGCTGCAACCCAGCACTTAATGTAGGACTATTGTAGCAATAATAATATATTATACACACATTAAGTTAATGTTTCTGAAAATTACACTTTATTACATCGGTGACTGTAACTTTACAACTATGTTAAATCATTTGTGGTCTTTATATCTTTTTCAATCAAATTTGGCTATAAATTTAGTTATTCTTCTGTTCAGTATCAATTTCATAATGTAACTCTAATGGTTTTAAGATACTTCTGTCAAAAATGTTGTGGTCATAGGATAATAGAACTAATCCCCCCAAAAAATATATGATTTAGGCAAGTCTGCCGGCCACCATTTTAAATTATATTTTAGTGATGAATATTAGGTTTTACAATGTTTTTGTCTGAGATCATCTTCTTTAGTAGCATTGTAGCAAAGCTGGGCAAGTTAGTCATTTTTTTTCAACTAGTTGAGGTTAAGTTACTTTAATAAAAAAACTAACTAAGTTAGAGTATAAGTTAGTTTCTGAAAATGTCCAAATTTCTAATTTAGTTAGTTAGGAGTTAGTTTTTTGAAAATTGTAACTTAAGTTAGAGTAGAAGTAAGAAGTTAGTTTATTTTTATAGATTAAAAAACATTTTTTTTTTTTTAAATGTAAATAATAAGTTATCTAACTTAAATTATTGATTAAAACTGAAAAATTGAATTAAACACCTAGTAATTTGATCAAAATGTTCTAATTAGATAAGAAATAATTTCAATTAATTTGAAACTAATTAGTATATCACTTATCAGTTATTAGAACATAAAGGTTGAAAAAAAATATATAACAGTATGACAACTTAAAATATTAATTTTGGAATGAAAAAAATAATAATAATAATAACTAGTTATTTTTTTTTCTAACGAGTTAGATTAGACTATTTTACACATTAAATTAACTAGTTAAGTTAGTGCCCAGCTTTGTAGATAACTAATAAAGGATTTAATACTTCAATTAAAATACAAATTTTAATATATTGGAGAGGCTAAGCGTTTATTATTTTACCCCTTTATTTTAATTACAAAACACACTAGCATTATATAAATAACACCATATTTAACATAAATTATTAATACTCTAACCAATAGACAATAATATCTCTAATTATTAATAAAATAACTATAATATGTAACTTTTATTTTATGATGTCAATGATTACATTTCAGTCATGACAGTGGTTTACAAATGTTGTACTGGAAAAGGGAAATAAAGAATAGATAACAACTATAATGAACAAAGTATTAATATGGGATGATACACCAATGATTCCTCAAAAGTATTCGTGCCATTGGACGGAACCTATTTTATATTTGAAGGTATTTTTGACAAGGGCAAAGTTTTAATCAAATTGTCCTTATCCTATACTCACGATGATATTATATACTTTCACATATACGTGGTATGTGGTACATTGTCTCATCGTAAATCCAAAACGAAAATCCAAAATAAAATTGTGCATTACATTCAAATTTCAAACATTTGAATACTTTTGTTCAAAAATCTTACAATATTCGTTAGTTGAAAATTACGTAACATAATATTAATTAATTAAAATTTGTAAGAAAAAAATAAAAATATTGGGCTAAAATGCTTGCGTTAAATATAAATAATAAAGTTGATAAAAAAAAATAGGTTAAATATTAAGGCTTTTCTTACCAGGACTATAACACAATTCCACAAATTTGCGGAATCGCGTTTATTTTATAGCCATTGAAATACATACACGATTTCGCAAATTTCATAAATACATACACGTTTCCGCATAATTTTAAATAAAAAAAAAAATATTATTAATGTCCCCGTTGCCCCCCTTAAATACGGCCCCGGTAATTACAGTTTATATTAGAATTTAGATAATAACTTATTAACAACAGTTTACTTGGTAACACAGATAAATTAATTGTTTAAACTGTGTACCTACCTACTTATTTTATTTTATATGTCCAAATAAAACCTAAAAGGATTGGGTATGTTTGTTTATAATACCTATCTATAACTTAAAAAATAGTAATATTATTTATTATATTTTTAGTACTTAAATCTTATTTATGAACATAAACACACACAAACATTTACATTAACTAAAAAACTACAAATATTCAAGTTCAAAACTCAAGTATAGTTTTATATTTACGAAGACATAATATTATAAAAACAAAACATTTTGTACAACAAAAATTTAAAAAGTTAATTTAGCTTATAAATAATTATTATCAATGGCGTCAATAGTAGGACCATCGGTAGAAGATGCATTTTCCTTAAAATTCTTGTCTTTAAAATATCGATTCAGTAACAAATCTACAGTAGTTTGGGTAATGCATACCGCTAACGCAGTACCGCTTAAAATTTTAAACGAAGTAATACTTCCGAAGAGATCAAAAAGTTGACCACCAACGAAACTCCCGACGGGCGCTCCTAAAACAGAATATGTTTTTTTTTTTTCAAAATCTATAAACTAAATAGTCGTATTTATACATGGAGCAAATTAATATATTTTCAGCAGGTAAGTGTGACCTACCAATGTTTTTTTTTTGCGTAAAGTGTTAGAGTATGACTTACCAAATATTAAATAGAAGACAAAATTGGATATTTAAACGAAAAAAACGATTTCATTATTCTTTTGTAGACAAAATTAATTTGACTTAGGTACCATATAGGTAGGTACTAATGGAAAATTAAATTACTTATAGCAATATAAATACCTAAACATGGCCGGATTGGTTATGGGCGAGCTATCGAGAAAATCTGGGTGCAGGGCCGCTTTAAAGTTTGGGCCGGTCGTGTAAGAGTGAGTGAAAATAAATTCATTTATAAAATACAATTGGGCCACCTATAAGCTCGTAATAATTATAAACGTAATTGTTGGCCACTGAATATGTAAATGTGCCGCTTATAGAAGTGAAAATCTCGATGGCCAATACATACCAATCCCGCCCTATAGGTTACCTAATATAAAATATCCCAGACTGACAGACTGTCACTGTTCAGAATCGTTTTTCGTGTAATCGTATACCATGCAGATATATCATTGAATTAAAGTAACATATATATTAGAGTGACATGACCAATAACGAAGTACACTCATCACCTACTGTAGGTAGGTTAGGTTAGGTTAGGCAGAACAGTTCCCCCATTATATTGTATGACAATAGTAAATTAATTGTATTTCGTATTTAATATTTGAATGGCCATTCTATATCAATTGACATGAACTGGTATACCAATTAGTTAATAAAAAGTAGTTGGGTAAAATTGAATAGAAAAAAATCATTGGTTGGTCAAACACTTGATAGCAGCCGAAGTATTTTGTTGTTCTCAAATATAAATCACATACCTATTCCCAACAATGCCGTTCCAACGATTCCTTGAAGCGTTCCTTCGGCCCCGACAGGAGCTAATTCTGCTGCGTACGAAGTCGCTGCTGAATAAGCCAACGCGTACGTTAACCCATTGAGCAATTCGACTGGTAAGACAAAAACAGGATTTGTAATTATTGAATACAAGAAAAATCTGGCAGCAAACACGAAAAACATTAAAGAAAACACTTTCATGTTATCCACTCGTTTGAGAATATAGCCTGCAGAGGACGGTGAAAATATTATAATATGTAAATATGTAAAAGTTCTAAGTGGCTTTTAATGATGCTGTATTTACTAGACAGGAAGAAAAACGGAACTTCTCCTCCGAAACATTGAATTGTCTGAGTCAACCCTTCGAGCGTCTTTATATAAGGTATCGTTTCAGGATGGTAAATTAACGATAGATCATCCAGGTACCTGTTGGTTTTAACATGGATATGAAATAAATTATTATTTATTAGTTATCATTTACATTATATTTAAAAAAACTACTAGGTTTTTAAGTTTTTAATTTGCACTATAATATAGTCTACATAGAAAATGTTAAATATATTGAACTTGACAGTTTTTTTTTGTTTTTGTCAATCAATAATCAATCATTCCATTAGACAGTGTATACACATATACACGTCTTGTAAAAGGTTAACAGAGTTTTCCGTAAATATTTATTGTTACAGTTAAAATTAATTAAGTATAATATATATTCAAACATTTAATAAATTATTGCTTACCAAAATAAATAATACCATATAAAGGCATTGAAAAATCCAAAGGCTACAACCCATAAGAGAAATGATAGCACTCTTATATTAATCAGCATTTTTTTTACATTAGATACTTCAATTTTACTTTCACTATTTTCAACAACCTTAAACAATAAAAATTAAATTATTTTTTATTTATTATTCAATTTTTTTTCATGAATTTCTTTCAATTTCTCTGCTGTATGCCTGTATATTAGGCGTCTAGAGAATCATTGTAATGTATGTGTTAAATTTGCAATTAAAAATGTCATTGTATATAATATAATAATATACTCTAAAAGTCTCAAGTACCAACGAATAATATTTTTAAATTACAACAAAATAACTAAAATCGTTATTCTTAGTTTCAGTAGGTAATTTCGTCCAAATTATAACTTAAAATATCTTAGATTTTTAATTACAGTATGAACTATTTATGAGAATCATTGTTGCACATTTTCAATTCTTAGCTATAAAAATTGAATATTTTATCATTTTTGGCTATAAAATAATTTAAAAACTTTCGAGTTTTTGATAAATTTTGTCAAAATTTGAACTTTAAATACTTATTGTGCCTATTTTATCAACTGATTAAGAACTTAGAATTCAACGTTTAAGCTTTGACCCAATGAATAAAATGTTATTCACATTTATTAAATAAAAAATTTAAAATTTAAAATGTCTATAAATAACTCAAAACGAGACAAAATATTTTGAAAATGTTATCAAGTATAAAAAATTATAAAATAAACATTTTATGAACATTTCAAGCACCTACGGTCAATAGTTTTTAAATAAAAACATAATAAGAAAATCTTTGCATGAGAATTTGCTAATTTACGGGTTATTTATTTAATGTCTAACAACAAAGGATCGTAAAAAATTAATTTGACTTTCCGGTAAACAAAAACTAGTAAGTACGAAAACTTATAAGAAATCTTGTACATAAATTTCAAATCTTAAATAATATACATAGAACAATTTTTATAAAAATCTAACTCAAAATAATTTGCCAATTTTCATGATTTTGATAAACTTTGACAAAATGTTAACTTCAGACGCACATAAAAAAAATATTGTGTATTTACCCTTAACTTTATTTTTAATTTCCACTAACAAGATCTTATGAGGAACTTTGTATTACATTTTCAAGTTTTTTGACTGAGTGACAATTTATCATCGACAATAATTTTAAAAAAACTAATAAAACTTGAAATTTTCTTATGCCAATAAATAGTTCAAAAAGAATCCCAATATTTAAAAAAAATGTACTGTTTATAGAAATTGGTAAAATAAACATTCAGTAAAAATTGCATGTATCTACGATTATTTTTAAAAAACTGTTTTTGCGTAAAAATATCAGTTTTTTGTTAAAATGTTGGTGATTTTTCCAGACACTTTATAAAAAAGAATGACAATTTTTTACTTTTAAACCCTATAGTACCAACTAGATTCACTATCCTACTAGAAAATATGCTGTTGAAGAGAATTAATGTATTTTTACTATTCTATGAGGTGATGACAGACACATAAAAAAAAAATCACACATAGTTTGTAAATCAATACATTAATCACTCTAGTCTGCAGAATCTAAAATTAAATATTTATGATTTAATTTTCGATTTTATAAATATTTTATCTTATAATAATGTATAAAATAAAAACGATGTATCTATCTACTATTTGTTTTAGTTTTAACTTATAAATAAATAATCAATGATGATCCCTATTTTAATTATCATAAAAGGTAACTTGACGTTTAATTACCTATATAATATTATAATGTATTCCTAAAGCCTCAAAATATCATATGAAATTTACGATTAATTTATATTTACCTCAATTTTCAATGCAACAAATGTATCTAAAATGCAAGCGGTCAATGCAATTATCATACCAGGTGTATAGTTTTTGTAGTCTTGACCTTTACTGAACCAGTCTATAACTGCGCCGGATAAGAACGATATCATGCCCCAACCAACTGCTCCCCATACTCTCTGTTGACCATATTTATATTTATTTTCACCTTAACGGAAAATATCAAGTGAATCAGAATTAAAGAAAATTTAAAAACAAACGTAATATATTAGACACAGTAGTAATTACATTGAATTCACTAACTGAAAACACAAAACAGTATAAAAATTCACCAAAAAATAATAATGAACCAATTCAAACATATTTTTAATAGTTAATATAATATTACCTACTATAGACTATAGTTTGTTTAATGTTTCACATAACTCACTAGTGGGCGCAAGAGTCAGTATCAGTCACTGCAATACTTACAGTGATAAAACGTTTTATTTAAATTTATATCCTTTTAGTAAACAGTATTTATAACCAATCTGGCCATTGGCATTAGCTATATTGGTTTTGTACGTTTTAATATCGGTAGGGGGGGGGAACACGTGTGTGTTGGGTTTGGAAGAATTTTTGATTGGGCACCCGTAGGTATCTGCCATGCCCGGGTGGGGGATGGTGGCATTTGTTCTCCGGTCACCGTGACCTGCCCGAAGAAAAATGCCACCCATGACCGAGGATTTGGCTGCGTCGCAACCGACTCCTTAGACCGTTCGGCCACTCCGTCCCCCTAATTAGTAATTATACGAATTTCTAATGTTATGTTTGTTGTAATGTTGTGTAATAACAAGTAAATTGTTGACTGCTTTTACAATTTATTATTCGCAATCAATATGACCTCTAAATCCACAAAACATTGTTTTATAACTAAAAATTTGCATCTTATAATAATTCCTCATCAACAATAATTAAATGGATCAGAATCTAAAAAGGTGAATACCGCTCTGTTGTATAGTAGGTTACAAGTAGTTCACTCACTGTAATTGTTAAGGCTGATGTTAAATTTGAATTAAATTATATACAATACCATTGTATACAAAAAACGATTCTGATCGGATATATAAGCCTTTCACGTTACGTTTTATATTCCAAACCAACGAACTAATTACGAATGATACTAATAATGAATTGTCCGATTTACCGCAACTTACTAATAAATATAACATAATTCTATTTTCTTCTCACGCATTATCTAGATTTAAGCAAAATGTTAGTTATATTATTCGTACTATGTATATAGATAGCAATTATTTGCGTTATTTCGATTCTACACATTTACATTAAGTTTAATCTTTGCATTGTATTACAATTAATAATTTTTATAATAAATATATTATTATAATAATATTTTTAAAATACCACAAAATAACTAAGATCGTTATGCTTCGTTTAATATAAATTAACAGTTGGATCGTGCGCTGTACTGGGTACAATTACAGATGCGTAATATATTCGTGAGGTTTGTGAAAACATTTATTTTTCGATTGTTGTATCAGCAAATGTGTTTATTAGATATTTAGATGCATATCCATTAGACACGGTTGTTCGTGATATTTTTGAGTTTCATATCCATTACAGACGTTGGTGAATGGTGAATTGTGAATACTTGTTTCATTTAAACGTTATTTTTAACGGAATAGGGTATTTTAACGCAAAGAAATAGGGCGATGTCAAAAGCGGAAGCAATACCGCATCGTTTGGGGTGTGGATTATTGAATATTGTGGTGCAGTATTCGTTGAAAAAAAGGGATGTTGACATACTTCGTTTACGTCATTTATAATTTAATTCAAGCTTGTATTTAAAGCATAATTTTTTTCCTCCGACTAATGTTAATTTACAAATTTCACCTCTTAAAAGTATCAGCTAGATTAATTTTTCCATCAGAAAAAATACTGAAATTGAAAATTAAAGAGTTATTTATATTATAAAATTGTTTAGACAGAAAAAAATAACACACATTATTGAAAAATGCATTCATAGCTCCGCTCAAAATATAAGAAAAAAAAATATTGATGAAAAATGTTAACATTTCTTTAATATTAAATAAAATTAAAATAATGGACTTCATATTAAAGTTTGCTGGAGGTAATTATTATAATTTATTAATCATTCCAAATCAAACATTTCTAGTACTTTATATAAATATTGGTCGAAATTATAGTGTTATCAAAGTTATCTAATAATAAAGTGCGTTTCTATTTTCATTGTAATGATCTATAGCATAATTTTTGAGTCTTCGTCAAAAAAAGAAACAGATCATCTTGAATCTTCAGTATTGCGAACATTTTTTTAATAACTAAAAGATACTAAATTCAAACTCTATTATAAATGATTATCTAATTTAATTTTAAACAAACACTTAACAATATAGTAGGTACAGTAATATTTAGTATTTTTGATATATTATAGGCATTACCTAAAGTGCATTTAATTTTTATACTCTACAGTTTACATAATTACATCCACATCTAAAGTTGTGTTGACGTGTCGTTGATATTAACAAAATGTATAAATTTGTCAAGATGAACAATGTTTTATAAACATCTGAACAAAACAGAATTTAGACACGAACTATTCTTACATTATAAATTTATCACGGACTACTAAAACGACACTTGGTGTAGGGGAGACTGGCTTAATATGACATATTAGGGTAATATGACACATTGATGTTTTGATTAGAATTATTGATATATTTTATGAACCAAATCTTCTTTAAATACGTTACATATAACCTCCTACATACAATTGTATACAGCGATCACCGGTTTTGACCTTATCAGAGAATTTGATAACAAAAATGTGTTTTTTGTCTTATCAACATTTTTTAAAAGCAATTTTGAAAATTAATTTTCAAATATTAAACCTTATGTTCCTTCAATTTCTTTTATTCGAAGTTGAACATAAAAAGGCAAGCTATACTACAATTGTTTTATAAATAAGCTTATTATAATACTTTTGCCATAAATACTTTGAAAAAAACTTGTATTATATCAGGCAAAATGACATAGCCGTGCTTATTATTATATTAATTTCATATTTATATTATTATATTAATTATGTTAAATATATTTCTAAAATTTTGTTATTTATAATAAAAAAAATTCATTAAACTATTAAATTCTAAACATTTTATAATTTATTTCTATTGACCAGTATACAATGGTTGCTTATACAAATATGGTGTATGCCATTTTACCCGACACTCCGGGTAAAATGACATAGTAGGTACATTTAAAAAAAAGTGAATTAAAATTATTTGTTTATATTAAATGTACAATTAGACTTCAGAAATATGTGTATTATATAAGTACTAATATGTTGCTCAAGTTTCATGTGTTAACTAACATTATTTCCTTCATTTTTTTAAAATTAAAAATTGGTATGTCATATTAAGCCAGTCTCCCCTAAGTACCGACCTATACTATTTGTATACTCGACCAATACACAATTCATTTGTATTATCTTTAGCAATTATAGCAGTGAACGACTTTTTCATATAGTTATATTACTTTTTATAATAAATAATAATAATAGTATTTCAAATAACTACATTTACCTAATAGGCCAATGCATATAGTATTCTCCAAAACGGATCTCGCCGTAGTACTTGTAATGAACATGGCAATTGTGCTGAAAAACAGCCAAAAAGTCGGTGACTTGATCACATTGACGTCGGAAATTTCTGTTTCAATGGTCGTGCCCGGTATAAACATCAGTACGCAGATAACTAGACAGTTGATAACTATGAGTGTAATTAATGCAATCTTGCGGCATTTGTATTTGTCAGTTAGGGCTCCAACAACGGGCCTTACAATTAAGGCTGGAAGTGGAATTAATGTGAAGATTAAACCAACGATGACAGACGAATAGCCCCGTTGCATCGATATCGTCGACAAGAATGGAATTATCGGGGCAGAACCTGAATAACGAGCAAAGATAAAACTATATTATTTAATATGAAGTAAATATATTTACATAAATCCATATATTTACATATTACACATTATGCATTAGTTGTTCGTTTCATCGTTTGTCTTCCAACATACTAAATTTAAGTATAAAATGTATAATATAATTTTACTATTTTTAATATTAGAGCATCTTCATTTAATTTTTATCAAATTGTTGGTAAAAAAATAACATTAATTTTCTTATCATGAAGTTTAACAATAGCGTCAATATGTAAATTATTTTAATGTTAAAAACAATAAAAAATGTAAATATGGAATGTTAAAATATTACTAGAGAAAATAAATAAGTATATTTTGTATAGAACGATATACTTCTTCAATGCTTATAAAACAAATTTTATGAACACCGCAAAAATTATTGTTTTTGCCATTCCCATACAAAATGTAAGTATACATCTTCTTGTATATAATAATTAATAAAGCACGTTTAATTATAGTAAAATACTACCATAATTCATAAAAAAAAATAATATATTTATAACATCCATTATTATAAATTTATAGTAAATACTAAATATATTATATTGAGTTGAAAAATGTATGTAATAATCAAAATGTATACTTACCGGCCATCGCCAAAAAAAAATGAACTTTTATCATCAAAAGTTTCTTATCAATCTGCAGGAATGTATACATGATTTTTTGATTTCAATAATTATTTTCTATTAATTATAATATTATTACACAAAAATAGTACGTTATTTAACTTTAAATATATTATAGTAAAACTTAAGAACTATATAAACGTGTCTGTGTAAAGGAACAATTAAAAACATTTTACTAGGTACTTTTTCAGTAGTAACCATTATATTTATATAAATGATTCCCCTCGCTTTAAAATCTAATTAGCACTCGGATACTATCTGTAAATTTACCATTTCCTATACCTAAAAGAGGATTGTGTCTATACAACACAAAAAAAAAATATTAAGTATTTTTCTAGAAATAGATTTTATCTATAAATGGTAGAAAGTATATAATTAATAGTTAATTAAATAATTGTGATGAATAGTTGAGTCTTGAGTAGTACCTATATTAACTGCTAATAATAATTTCAATAAATATTAAGTCAATCAGACATTTTAAGTGACTAAAAAAGACAGTTGACGTGATGGTAACTAATTGATAGGATATGTTTATAAACGTTTTTATAAGTAGGTACTTATAAAATTATAATATTTTTTTATACATTTCAGTAATAGAGATTCATTAATCATTATTGTTTATTGAAAGATTGAAAATAAAAAGCAGCACGTCTAAATATAAAAAGGTGCTCTGCTGTACAGTAGGTTACGAGTAGGTCACTGTACAATGGATGGTATTAAATTTGAATTCAATGATATAATATCATTGTATAAGAAAAACGATTCTGAGTGGAGACGGTATGTCAGTCTAGGTATAAGACATATTATATACATATCTATGGTATTAAAAAAAAATTGACTTATACAGTTATACCTAATATAGGTACCTATAATAAATTCCAAATTAATCATATCACAATATACATTTAGGTACTTATAATGCTTTATACATCAACAACAAACCATGATACTATCATAGATATATAATAGTGTACCTGCTTTAGAAGTTTCAAGTACCCGAATAATATTATTCAATCACCACAAAATAACTAAAATAGTTATTCTAGGTTTTTTTTATGTAATTTCGTCCAAATTTGAACTTAAAATGACTATAAAAATAAACTGTGCTTATGTATTTTTTAAATTTTTTTGTTAACAGAATTAACTACTTACGTGGAATCTTGTTGTAAATGTTCAATCCTTAGCTATAAAAACTGAACATTTTTATAATTTATTAATTACAATGATTGACAATTTTCGAGATTTTGATAAATTTTGTCAAAATTCGATCTTTAAATGCTTATAAAAAAAAACTGTGCCTATGTATTTTTAATATTTTTCAACTGATACTGTAACAATATATCAGGAGCCTTGGATTAAATTTTTACACTTTTTGGCCCAACAGATAAAACTTTATTGATATTTATAGAAAAAAAAAACTAAAATAATTGAAAACTGAAAATGTCCGTAAAAAGCTCAAAAAGAGTCAAAATATTTTCAAAATGTATGGTGTATAGGAAATGCTAATATAAACATCCAGTGAAATTTTCATGTATCTACAGTTATTCGTTTTTGAATTACAACAAAATATAAGGAAATCGCTACATGAGAAATCGAGTGAATACCCAATGTTGTAAAAATTTGAATTTCAAACGCTCATAAAAATTTAATTCAACTATCTTATAGACATTTTGTTTTTGATAAAGGTAGATAATCTTATAAGGAATCTTAGATTTAAAAAGAAAAATTGTTGTGAATTCTTAACTCAAAATAATTTGCTAATATTCGTGATTTTTCCATATTTTGTCAATTTTTGAACTTTAATTGATTATAAAAAAAAACTGTGACTAAGGATTTTTAATATTTTTCAAATGTAATTGTAGCAATATAGTAAGAGCCTTCTATTACATTTTCAAGCTTTTTTAACCAACAAATAAAATTTTATTGGTATTTTTAGAAAAAAAACTAAAAAAAAATGGAAAATGAAAATGTTCCTAAACAGTTCAAAAGAAATCATAATATTTCGAAAATTTGATCGTGTATAGAAAATGCAAATATAAACAACCAGTAAAAATTTCACGTATCTACGGTTATTTGTTTTAAAGTTACACCAAAAACCAAATTGATTTTGTAAAAATTCCCGTTTTTCCTTAATTTTTATTTTGTTTTTCCGGGCGCTTTTGAAAACAATTGGGAATTTTAAAATTTGACATCACTTCCCCATCGAACAAGATACTGTTGAATAAAATCGAAGCATTATTTCGACTACTTATCGTGTACGCAGACACACAAAAAAAAAAATAAATAAATAAAAAAAACACACATCATTGTAAAATCAATACATTCATAGTTCCACTCAGAATCTAAAAAAAATTTGTTCAATTGGTGACATTAATAACTGTAGATTCATTGAAAATTCTATTATTTGATTACAATCGATTTCCCCGTTGTAAGAAAACTATTTTATTTTTTATTTATTTACTATTTATTTATTTTTACTTTAACCAGCAGTAGGTAACAGGTAATTCAGCTAGTATAATATTTTTATGATATTTCAAAGTCTATAAACCTACAGTATTAACGCAAAGAATAACCAACATATTGCAACAAATTGATCTATTAGGTTTTATCAGAGAAAATTTGGTGCAAATTTGAAACTTAAAAGCTTGTAAAAAAATTGTATGTTTTAGATTTTATGGTTTTAGAATAATATACCTAAGTCATGATTTATGAGGATTCTTGTATAACATTTTCAAGTCTTGGCTATAAATTATTAACATTTCAAAAATGTATAACTACGAAATAATTTGCACATTTTTTTACTAATAGTTTTTCAATATTTGAACTGAAAATACTTTAAAAAAAAAACCGTGCCTATATATGTACCTATCTTTAAAAATTTTAAATAGGTATTAATGCAACTCGTGAATAATCTTTTTAGATGCAAGGTATAGTGTATGGTGGAAAACGCTATCATATAATATTTACCTATTATCTAAATTAAATTTGTGGTATAGATATACTTAGTCTTATAAATTAGTGGTTATAGGATATTAGGATATTAGTAGCACTATATGCTTGTTGTAACTTTTTGGAGTTATTGTAATTTATTTCACTGTAAATGGATGTCTTGGGTTTAATGGAACTTTCAGGATAGACCTGAGTAATAATGACAATGTATCAAAAAAATTAGATGTAAAAATCTTGTGCGGTGTAAAATACTATTGAAGGTAATCTAAAGTTCAGCGTTCAGGCTACTGATTTATTTAGCAAACAATATTATTCAGCAACGATGATTACATCACATCATGTAACTAATTTATATTTGTCAGCCAAGTCTGGTATGAACATAAGCATACTTATAAATGTATTTATGATTACTATTTGCTATAATCAAAATAAAAAGTGATTTGAGTTTGGGAAAATTTTTATAAGTTACAATGTGTTTGGGTGACCTATTTTAATATCCTGGGATGTTGCATTTTATCAATCCATTTTACCTCTCATTTTTACAGACTTGGGACTGTCCGTGAATTCCATGGGTATGATTAAAAGTGGATTGCTTTTTTTTTTGAGTGTGTAATTAAAAAATTAAATGATTTAATTATTTAAATGATTAAAAAAAGTTAAGATACTATTAAAATTTAAAAAATATGTAACTGAAATATAAGTGTGTGATTAAATGTTGAAATAATATAGGCATATTTAGATTAATATAGAATTCCCTGTTTATTTTTATCTTAATCTTTACAATTTTATCTTTTACCTTTTTTATGGTAGGTACCATACTAGCTCAAACACATTATAAATATTGTAGCAATACTACAATCCTAGCCTTGAGGTTAGTTTCTGGTATGGCAAATTGGCAACTAGATACAATTTGCTATGTACCAACAGTCTTGTAAAAGTATTCAAGTACCAATACAGATACTTATAATAAAAAGAGTACAAATAAAAATTTGTAAAAGTATATGAAATAAAAATATTGTTTGTTGAATAACAAAAAAAATAAAATATAAAGAAAAAGTATTTCGAAAGTATTTGAAAACTTAACAAGATGCAATTTGGCAGCTGAGGGAAGGAAAAATAAAAAATCTTGGTACCTAACTACTTTAGAAATATTCTGAGACAAAAATTGTTATCACACAAAACAAGCTTCTACAAGATTAGACATTTTTATTCATTTTTTCACCAAACATCTATCAGTATTAACGTTAATGAAACAATAATATTATCAAAATATTTCAGCTCTATTTGTGTTACTAAAAGCATTAATTGAAATGTTCAAATATTTAGTTTTTTGTCTATTAATGAATGATGCAAATTTTATATGATAGTTAAGTAGCTTGAAAATGTAATTCAATGTTTGTAGGTTCATATGTTGTTCTTACAGCAATCTAAAAATATTAATAACATACATACACAATTTTTTTCATAGACATTTCCACTTTCAGTAGGTATAATAACAGTACCTATAACTTATTTGACTGAGTAATAACAGTGCTTACAGTGAGTATAACTTGTGTCATATAAGAAAAAAATTTAAATTATTAAATAAACATGAATTTTTTGATTTGTATTATCCAACTTATAATGTAAAGTGGTAGGTAGGGGCAAAGCAATTTTATTTATTGGTACCATGTGTATTGCTGTCCCTGACCATTAAAATTTTGAATATATAGGTACAGAAGTTCCGGTAAGTTTTTTTCAGTTTAGTAAAAAAAAAAACAAACAAATTTTTAGAAACAATATAATAAATATATTGTTATTTTAATAACAATAAAATAATTTATACAAAAATAATTTCAAAAAAATAAAAATAATATAATATGGTATTTACGGTTTGGCTTTTGACAATAATATTTTATTGTATAATTTATGCAATATTTAAATCTTAATTACAAAACACTAAATACAAATTATCACCAATTAAACTACTAGTATATTAGTAATAAAATATACTAATTAGTATTAAAAATTAAAATGTGTTAAATTTACAGTTGGTAGAATTTTTGTGTTAAACAAAAACCAATAAATTGTAATAATTTAAGCTTCAGTTTTCTGAGATGTTACGTGTTGACTATTGAAAATTATAAATTTCACTGAAATAAATTAGTTTCATTTGATTTAATTCATAGTAGGTAATTAATATTCCAATATTTTAAATTATTTTGGCTGTCTACAATTTTTTCACATTGTACACTATGTTTTGTTTATAGTATGTATACATGAAAAAATATTAATAATTTGGCCATAATTAATACTAGTTTATTACTCCAATCATTTATGGAGCTAATGTATGTATCCACCTTGAACTTTTTTTTTTTTAATTTTTAGAAGAAAATATACAATCTATATCTAAGACATAATGAGTATATGTGCAATAAGAGGGAAACAAATAACATGATTTACATAATGTGGGGAAAGAAGCCACTCACTCAATATGAACATGAATCATAATTTAATCATTAATCATAATTCTGTGAAATAATACTAATGCACATTTATTTTGGAGTGTTAATACTTCTTATTATTCCAATTATTGACTTATTAAATTACATTTTTGATCTAAGTTAAAAAAATTGATTTTTTTTATATGCGCCAAATACTACAGTATATTTATGTCACTTATTATGTAGACCATATTTTGAAATTACATGACACTTTAATTATTATTTCACTTGTACATGTATACAATTCACAAATTAAATATCCTAAAACTTTTTCTTAGATAAAAATGAATGTGGTTTTAATAATATTAAAATTTTAAAAGATTAACGATCTCATTAAAGTAATACTAAATCAGTCTTAAAAATACTACTGACAATACAATATATTAATATCAAAATGACTAAGTATATAAAATACAGGAATATAGCATAATGTATATTGTATAGGAAAAAAAAATAGAAAATGTACATCATAAATAATTATTTAAACTAAGCAAGTTTAATTTATTAGATAATAAAATAATATTTTTAACTGAAATTAAAGTTAGATGAATGATTCAACAGTAAATTATTTTAACTTATAACTATTGTTATTTGTAAGGACTTAATATGATAAAAGTTACTAATTTGAACAAAAATATATAATTTTGGAATTGATTAAACATAATATAATACTTTATAAACTATATTCAGTGTTTACACATCATAATAAATATATACCTACATTTATAATAATTTGTCTTAAATATATTAAAATCAAAACATTTCTTGTCAAAGATACTGTTATTTATGTATGTAGAATAGGTAAAACAATTTATCTTCTTTGGTTATTAAATATTTTATAAGTCTTTTTTCTATGCACTATATAACTTACTGCCGATGACACTGTAGTAGCAGTTGTTAGCCACCATAACACTTTGAGTGCGGGATGATCGACAAATTCAAAAACTGGAGCTGCTAAAGTAGCACAAACCATTGCTAACTGAACCGTAGTATTCACCTTGCTTATGAACATGGGTGCTAATTGAACATTGGTATTGGTGACATCAAATAATTTACTTAAAGTCCTGGGTTTAGGTATTGACATATAATGAATTTGGAAGGCAGCACCAATTAAAACCAGATCCCTTAATATAATAATACCGGTAAGATATATTGGTATTAAATCTATATAAGTCAAGGTGAAAAACATAGTACCCACAAGTACTTTGTCAGCCATTGGGTCTAAAAAACTACCTAATTTTGATTTCTGACCTTGGAAATTTCTAGCAATCCACCCATCAACTAAGTCTGTCACACTTGCTATGGCCACAAAACTGAGGGCATACTCGAAGTTTCCATTGACAATAAGATAACCCAAGTAAGGACTTAGGATTATTCTAGTCATACATAGCATGTTAGGTATTGTCCAAACATTCTCCTTTATAGTATCCCGTACCTTTGATTTAGTTTCCTTGATGTCATCCAGTATGAATTTACCTTTGGTTTGAAATTTTTGTTTAGTTTTTTGTAAAATAATCTGTTTATCTCGAATGGCATTTTTCAATTTATTATGGCGCTTTGAAAATCGATCATCCGCAAAATAAACATTTGCCATAATCCTGTGATTTTTATACAATCGGACTGATAAAAATGAATTATTGTTTGCAGTTACAGTTGGAAAACACATTCTGCACTGAGGTAAATACATTTTACAGCAACATTGGCTCGAAGAAAATATATATTTCAATAGATGATGCATTTTTCACTGAGTTCTATAGTTCTTTCTTCTTATCACTGTAAAAATAAAAGATTTTAACACAAAGTTCTTATATTGCTGTATTTAATAAACAATATTATAGAATTAAATACAAGTAGTTCATTCATTTATTCTCATGATTTTGATGTTGATACCCATGTGAAAACCTAGCCACATAAAATATACCTAAACCTTTATGTGACCTAGTATATTATTAAATAATATTATAATTACATACATTTTTAATTGTATTGTATTTTACTTTTTTTTATTATGAATCCTCTCATTTAATTTTATTTATTGTTGTTACAAAAAAATACAGTATAATTATTCACTTATAACGATCTAAAAGGGACTTAGAGAATCAGATTGTTTTATTCGGATGACAAAAACAAAAACATACCACACATGCGATATAAAACCAACCAAGTACATGGATGGAAATTGTTTTATCTGCAATACGTATCATTACTTACTTACAGCATTGTAATAAGCAGATTCTACTATAAATACAAATAATACATCAACAATAAATAAATTGGAAATTATATTTAGTTAGGTTTAGTGTTAAATGTTAACCTAACCTAGCTTCTTGATTATAAGTTATTTTTAATTTGTATGATGTAAAATTATTTTTAATTCAACTTGTTAAGTAGTAAAAGAGATATGTTAAGAGTTAAGTACTTAGAATTAAATGTATACATTTTATTTATTATGATAATGCAATTATGAAATATAACAAATAACAATGGTGTTAACTGTTAAGGTGTCTTAATGCATAGTATTATATTATTATTATACTCACTTCATATGATACAATGGCGACAGCAAAAATATTTTATTCAACAGCACAGAGTTATCTTGTTTTGATTCAAATGATTTAATAATGAAGTTATAGTTATAGTATTATAGTAATATAATGTAGTGACTTACAAACTAAACTCAAATTCTTTAATAGGATTTTAATTGATTTTAAAATTTATAATTGATATGATTATATGAAAGCATTATTTTGATACTTGAGTAAGTCCGAGTGTCAGTGTCAGTGTTCAATGATCGTGAATCGTGATGATCGAGCCCCGAATGATTGCCGGGGTCAGATCTCCCGAAAAGTGATAAGAGTACTTAAGTGTGATAATATTTTGGGAGATAAAGAGATAATACATTTTTTAAATTTATTTTAAAAACGAATAACGACGATTCTGAATTTCTAAATTAATAACTATTACTAACTATTAGGACAAAATTACATGAACCAACAATATTAATTTCATCCATCAAAAGACAAAAGTGTATCGATAGAAAAACGCGTTCTTGTTGTTCTGCCGACAGATTACGAAAACGAACGCAAACAGCTGCTGCGATTCCGAGGTTATGACCATTTAAAATCCCGCCAATTGAACAAATTTCACTATCACAAAGTTATATTTTATATTTTTTATATAGGTTTCATTATGTTTCAACCATGAACAAAATTAAAAGTTTTTGCAATTCGACTTTAGTATGCCTATTGTGATTTCCCAACTGAAAAATCGTAGCTAGTTCTCGTACGTTATAATATTGTCAACAGAATCGACGTCTAGGACATTTGCCAAAATGATGCACCCTGCTGAAATCGAGTTCATGGCCGAAAACGAAATCATTCAGATTGTGCCGACTTTCAATCATGCCAGCCACGTACACCTTATATGCGGTTCTTATGGTCCTTTCCGAGCAGGCCTGCCGTTGAACGTTCCCATTTGGGTGGCACTGAATCTGCGACAAAAAAAGACGTGTCGTATCCTAGCCCCCGACTGGATGGCCGTTGACAAATTACAAGAAAGACTTGAAGAAGAGAAAGCGTCCAAGTACAGTAAACGTCATTCGTATTGACCAAATTGTATCTTTCTATTAACATTTGATTATTATAGATTTTTCACACAATTACCAACCAATTTTTACCTAGAAATCACTCAAATGTTATTGACTGTTGCCAGTGAAGATATTCCGCAAGGGAACGATATAAAAACGGCAGTTAAAGTGAGTTGACATACCCAGGTGTATAATTATATAATATATTATATAGGTATCTATTTTCCTTTCAACACTTAGAATTCAATTAATTTTAGATAATATATTCTACTTGTGTTAGATGTATTTTATTCAGATTATTTTTCTCATTTATTATATTGTGATGGGAAAATCATAGTTTAAATACCTGATGTTTTTTTTTTCCATGTGGTATCACAAACAGGGCTGGAACAACAATAGTATTACTTCTACCTTTACCTAATGACTAATGTACTTTCAGTAACTATACTTTGTTCAGGTTAAGAGTGCCCAGTCGCTCGGACGAAAACTGGTTCTGTTCGCGCATGCATGGGGAGAGCTCTGGTATGCCGACGCACAACCATCTGTATATAGACGGCGGCAGATAGTCCGATCCGACAGTCGACGACGGCGGTCGACAATGCTGACCAATCACAGCGCGTCTGCTGTCGCCTGGGGGGTCTGACAGCTGTCGGCTGCTCAGTATGCATGCGCGATTTTGGGCACTCTTAACCTGAACAGAGTATAGTTCATAGGCTATACCAATAGTTGTCTCTCTTTGAAATATTTATTAACTAATACAATTCCAGGTATAATTGCACTCAAACTACACCCTTTTTTTTCAAATCTAGGTAATATCTTGAGTTTTAGACTACATTGTGAGAATTGAGCTCAAACACTTAGTTTTGGTGATTTGAAGTTTGCACCATTAGGGTACAATTTATTATTATATTTATATTTAGAAGTATTAAGGGCTCTCTTTTAGGTGGACTATTTCCACAACTGTGAGTTTTGAAGGTTAACTCTGAGTTTTGCAACTGATGTTTTTGAAAAACTGTTAAGTAACTAATATTAATTAAAATGAAAAACACAAGATATTTTACTTTCTATTAAATACCTAATTTAGAATATTTATAACAATATACTATTACCTATTAAAAATAATAGTAATACCAATATTATTAAAACGATCACTGCAGTATATTTTAAACAAACAGCTTCACAATATTAGCCCATTCTAATATTTGAGTTTAATATAACTTTTTTTTAATACAATCAAATTGTTACAAAATATTAATTACATTGATTTATTTTTTAAAGGATCTATGGGATTTAAGAATAGCAAAATTAAGATCTTCTGTTGATTTATTCATTAAAGAAGGTCGTGTTCAAGCTTCTTTAAACCATTTGACCCCAATGGAGATCAATTCTGTGAGACCAATATTCCCAGATACATTGGATGCCTTAATGACACTCCATGAAGTAAGATATATAATATATTATACCTATTTTTTACTATTTGTTGTTTATCTTTTTTAAAAAATAAAACTTTTTAAATAAAAGAGCACTAATATCATAAACATAAGTTTAAATATCAATTTACTATATTAAATTTCTTTTTATATTTAGCACATTAACTCGAGTGACGACAGAGAAGACAGCAGTCAATCTTCAATAGCAACTCCTAGTAGTTCAACATCTTTTTCATTATCCTTGTAAAATAATTTATTTATACTTAAAATTATACTTGTGATTCTTTTCACTGGGATCGGGTTAAATTATTTGTTAAACAAATGATGTAAAATAAAGATTTTAATATGTTTAATTTGTAAAGTCTACAATATTTAGATTGTCTTGATCTAAACAGTTGTTTTCTTTAGTCAAGATTAAAAACATTGTTCTTATTTTTTATTGTGGTAATTGCTTGGTTATGTTAAGTATTATATTTTTATCTCTACAATACATTCTTAGATATATTAGGTAAGACTAGTATGAGGCATAGAGTTTTAACAAAATAAAAACCTCACATTTTCAAATTTAACAAAAATACTATGTAAAATGTAATAAGCTTAGTTACAAACAATGATAATCAATAATTGTTGTTGGGCGTGTACATAATTGTGATTGCAGTATGATATTATTTTAAATGTCAAGATCAAACTATACTTACCATATATAGGATTTACCCAAGGTTAAGCAAGAATGCTTATATTTTAAGTGAACATATGCTTATAAATAATAATACATTCATAATCTATACGACTATACAACTGATTGTACTATGGTGTTAAAAGTTTAAAAAAACAACTCAATTTTAATTTAAAATATAATAGTCAATCGATAACAATGTACCAATGATAACTGTTGAGCATAATGTTTATGATGTATTATTCAGTCATCTAATATAATGGGAAAATGTTATTAAATATGTATATTCTTTGTTTTTTACAAAATTGATCAATTATTTATATTGGAAGTATAATATCATGGTAAATATTTATTCGCTTAATATGTTATTTGTTCTCAAAGATTTCTGATGAGTATAAAATTTACAAAACCACTTTATTTTATCAAATAAACATTGTTTTATATTTGTATTACTTTTGTAATTATAATGTAAGAAATTATTATTTTAAATTGTTAAGCAATTATTTTTGTAAATCAAAATATATTTTGACATTCTTATACATTGTTACTATGAAATCCAATGAAATTTATAGTTATGTACCCTGGAGGTAGAAAAAACCATGTCCATTTTTCTCGAAATTGAGTTAGCTCCATGTCCTTGTACATTTTTCCCTTATGTAAAGGTATACGACACTATGTCCAGTTATCATTAGTAACGGAAATAAGACTATAAAACCATCTCCACCTTTTTAGAGGTAAATTTGGACCTATCACCAGTAAAATTACTATTTTGTGACATGGCGTGTTGTTTACTTCCACTTTAAAGAGTTATTTAATAGGTATTTAATGTAGATAAATTATACGAATCTATTTAAAAATTTTATTGCAGTTGCATACAATTTACCTATTATAAAAAGCTGTATGTGAAAAATCAATTATAGTTTATTGTAGTAGTTATTCTGTGACCTAAATACCAGGTAATCAAAAATGGTTTAAAAAATTACTATTATATACCTAATAAGTAATAACTATTATCATATTGTAACAATGAAAAATAATGACTCATTTTTTTTTTAAAATCTGAATTTTGTGTATAGGTAATAGATATACCCTCGGATATACCTAATATTATTATAATTTAAAATCGTCAAAAACATTGCAGACATACCTAATATGTAAATCATTTCAAATAAAATCATGCTTGTGCAGTATATTATATTGTAAACTCTGTGACACGGTCTGACTTCTGAAGCTCTAACAAATAAGGCATACAGAGCATAACATTATATTATTATTACAAAATATTATGTACAATGGAAAAAAGGTGAAATTAAATAGATGGTTCATGCACCATCTCAACACATCGTATGACGTAAACGTTAAATTTTTTTTAATTTATTCATGTAAATTGTAAGGTGTATTATATTAATTATTAACAAAGGTATATTGAACTCGTCTACGGGAACAATATTTTAATATAATTATACAGGAATCGACGATTTCGTAGGCGTTACTCTCGACTTCCCAATATTACAACTTACTAGGCGACAATGATAGGTAGGTTTACTCTAATAACAATGACAATAATAATAATATTTTAACAATAAATGTTGGGTAAATCACAACGCTTTCGGGTGACACACTGACACAGCAGCACTGGAGTAGCACAGAACAATAAGTACCTATCGAAAAACACGAAGCGCGTGCAAACCAACTGACAAAATATAAACCTTATATAGTTATATCTAACAATAATATTATAATAAGTTTAAATGTATCATATAATATATTAAATCGTACCTAATCATTATTATAATAATATTAAGTTTTGTGATTTCAGTCTTGTGAAAGAAAACGCGTCCGCGCACGGACCGCAACAATACGCAGCAGTAACAATATAACATCATTAGCGATGTACTGCAAAACATAAAATATATAATATCAATACATCGATAGTAACATTATTGCACGCTAGTCGGTTGTTGCCGCGTTGGTGGCCACGATCTGAGCGTCGGACTTGCGGAGAGCGGCCGACGCGGCGTCACTGCTATGGACCGCGGAACCGCTCTGTTGCTGTTGCTCCACGTCCACCGCCCCGTCGCTCACCGTGTTCGTCAGTTGCTTGCGTATGTCGCGTATGCTCTTTCGGATGGCCTGCGCCAGCTTGGTCGTCGGCTGCGATGCAGTTGTAGTGTCGACGACCGGCACCGTGACCTCGTTAGGGGACGACGTTTTGTCGCACTCGTCTGGAGGCACCACGGTTATGGAACAGGTGTCCCTCGCCGCCCGGTGGCCACTGCTGTCCATCAGTCGCTGCGGATCCAACTTGATCGCGTCATCGTAACTGGGCGGCGGCACGTCCACCACCGAAGCGTAGTCCGGCGGCTTCTCATCCAGCCGCACCGGTGGGTCCAGTGATATCACGTGGATGTGGTCTATCGACTCCTGAGAACAGTTGACAAAAAAAACCGTAAATTTTAATACAGGTACCTACTAAAGTTATAGAATATAATATAATTAATTATTATGTATTCACTAAGGAATAAGGATCATTCCCAAACAGAACCGATGGGGATCAGCATGATTGACGAATCACTCTGTATATGGTACCTATACCATAATATTATATTATAAAAATTCATATAGGTAGGTACGAGTGGTACGACAATCGTTTGAGCATTTTAAAAACATAAAAATGCCATAACATCTGAATAAATACAATAATATAGGTATGTAGGCGAGCCGTGTAGGTGCGGAAAACAACCAAATTATTGATACACTTATTAATTATTATAGTATTATAGGTAGGTATATGTATTGCTACTTGTCAATTGTTAGTTGAATTTATTTGACCCAAAATAATGGGAGATTTTTTTCTATTTTCATGATATAATTACCAAAATTGATTTTTTTACAATTACGAAGTAGGCCAACGATATAGAATATTTAAACAGAACGTATATATTATGCTATATTTCAAAGCACGTTAGGGTTACGTAAAATAAAACTACCTACTTTTATATATATACATATAAACTAAGTAAGTATAAACCTAACCAGTAGGGGGGGGGGCTAAACTCATTTCTTTTTTTCTCACTATTTTGGGTATCTGCATAGCTATACATAATAATATTATATAATATATATATTATATATATAGTATATATTATGATAAATATTGATGAACAATAATTTATCCAGATTTTGTCGGTATTTATGTATAATTTCGGACTTCATGCATCATAAATTGAGACTACTGAAACTCATTTACTCATTCATAATAGACTATATGTCTATATCATATACCTAGTACCTACATAAATATATAATACCATAGGACATTATGTATTATCTGGATTACCTCTGTGTTTGAATATTTGTAAAAGTAAATGGAAATGTGTAAAAATAAACTAGGTAATACAGAATACTAATACAGTATTATAGATGTAACCTATCATAATTTAAAATTATTGATTATGAATGTAAATTTTCCTCTTTTCTCTGTTTTAAGACACTAATGCTCACGGTAATTCATTCATTTGGCGAACATTGACATATAGTAGGTACTATAGTAGGACATAGTAGGACATAATACATAGTAGTAATGGAAAATTAATTGTACATTTGTACCTATATTAATATAGGCTACAGCCAATATATAGGATTGTATTACTAAGAGTTTTGGAACCACAGATCTATTTTTTATGCCCCCTCCCCTCCCATGTGTTGTCTTGTATCAATCATAATTTGATTCAGATTTCCAGATAATTAATAATTTTGAATTTACAGGCAGATACTGGTATTATTTCATATCTGTTAGTACAACTATTATAGGCACCTTGAACATTTTTTAGATTTCACATTTTAACTGAAATGACCATAAAAAGTATCCTCATATATAGCTTATAGCCCAGTGGTTTTCAAATTTTTATTTAACACGGCACACCGTGCTTCACAAAAAATGTTCACGGCATAGTGCCTTTTTTTTTGCACTAAATAATTAGATGAACAAAATTGTATTGAATTATAATTTTATAAGTACATTTAATTAGAAATGTGTGCTTGATAGGCCAACATTTATTCATTAATATTTAATTATATTTATATAATTTTATTCTTGGACGAATAGTTGAACTTTCCGAAAGACCGCGGCACTCTTAATGAATGCTGCCGCGGCACCCATTTTGAAAACCACTGTTATAAGCCTATAGCTTTTTTTATCCCCTACCTACCTAGTGCTAATCGAGGCAAATAATAGATTCTTTCGGTATATTATAAACTATCTACCTATATGAATTGATAACATTTTTCAAAACTTCATATAGGTAGTTATAAAAATAATATTAATTGATAGTCGACACCATGGACTATAAGATATTAGTATAAGTATAAGTAGATATAAGTAGTCCATATTATATAGAAATATCTTAGTCCGTGATCGAACCGATGAGCGTTTTTCGTTTATCGTTTTTTTTTTTTTTTAGAAAGCCGTAATCATAAACATAGCCAACTTATTGAGATTGGACATTGTATATAAGTTTATATAGGTTGGTACATATTAATTATTATACTGTTATACTGACGTTACGGTATGTCTAGCTGTAACAAATTTAATTTAGCAACTTTAGCACCTTTCGTTTATAACAATAATTATAATTATTATTAACGCCGGTTGTTTTTCAAAAGAAATATAAAATCTGAAGTAATTCCGAGCACAAGCACTACAAGGTTTATCTAAATATATTATTATAATAACGGCTACGATAATTATTTATTTCTCATTGTTTTATTATTATTATTAATACGTAATGTAACAGCACGTCAAACAAAAAAATCGAAGAGGTTTTTGCTACAGCCACTACACGCACAAGTAGATACAAACACAAACACAGACACACAATATGATGTTCAAACTCGTGAGTAAAAAAATTGTCTTATGACATAACATTGCTACGGCAGATACGTAGGTAGGTACTATACTGTTTTCAAGATCGTTCCGATGAACTTGAGAGGTATACAAATATACAATAATAATGAAAATATATAATTATCATGTATACTAGAGTTCGGAATTATATTTATTTTTTTTTCGATATAATAACGTCTGCAGAGCACAATGTTATTAAAAATTCATGGCAGTCAATTATTTTCATATAAATCATTACGTCACACAATAGCTGTTTGACGCGACGAAAAATCGTGGTTTGACGTGCTGTATATTTTTTATTTGTTAAAGATTTACGCAATTTCATGAACTACAACTGCAGCTATGTGTGGGAGAACCTGTTCCAGGCTAGGTACTCAATATAGCTGCATACATAAGTGTACGATAATTCTAATATAATAGGTACCTAGCCACCTAGGTGGCTAGGTCGTAGGTAACACACTTATATTTCAATTCGCGAGTAGAAAATATAATAATTGACTTCGGTTCGCGCATTCCGTTTTGCAAACCTAACCTTTCATTTATACTTTTAAGTTGCAGAACACTTTGATCTCTACGGAAGTCGAAAATAGTAGTAATTGGGCGGGCGGGCCTCACCTTGAACTATATCGTGTCAAAATTGGTTGAATTTCGCGAGAACAATAATACTATATATTATATAATATTATGTTATACGGCATACGCCGTTCACTAGCGCTGCTGCAAACACTGCCGTTACACAACATACGCTGGACAGAGCTCCTAAATCACGAAAATATGTACCTACTGTGTACCTAGGTACATTAAAAAAAAAACTTATTGACGGATGAATTTTTTTTCAGATCAGTAGGCTTGCAGTTTAAATGGATATTAATATATTATATACATTAGCTGTAGCTATTGCTGACAACAATATGTTCAACTGTTCAAGTTTATAAATAAATATGACCGCTGTCTATTGGCTATTTCAACCGTCTTATACGTAATATTATTGTATCTAATATTCAAAACCTACGATAATTTAATAATGGGCTTTTGTGGTAAGGTATATTTTGGAATAGTGAATTTTTATTACGAGCAAGTAACAGCGGTCAATTTGTCGTAATAGTGAATAGCTATTTATATACTAATATTTCATGTTGTATATTAATATTATTAATTGTTACACTATATAATATATTATTATGATTGTATTTACACAATAACACGGCAGAGAGACGGCGTATTGCTACATTTGGTGTAATTTAAACTATTTTTTTTCGAGTGTAGGTCCTTAAGAGGATGTCGCACCAAGGTTCGTTATCTTAAGGTTATATACGTGTAATCGCGTTGTAGAAAAAACATGTTCACGCGCAGACAGATCGATAAAAACGAATGGGGAAATGATTTTGAAGCTACTAACCTGTGTATACAAGTAGGTATTCAACGCTTATTGTATATAATAAACATTCGTAAAGACTATACATATTATACCTACTCAGATACATAAAAATGAAAATAAATGTACGTTATATATCATAATGTATGAAGTAGGTATAAAGTATTAACAATATACAAAACTAATATTAAATAATATATCAAACTGATTTTCATATCGTAACGCTCTGAACTCTCAACGTTTATTATTTGATTTTTTTTTTTATCAATTTGTAAGCTGCAGAATAGATATTCAGAGATATACGCTCGAGATGCCCTCGAAAATGTGGTTTTATATTTAATTTGTTTTCGTTGCTATATGCAACTTGCCTATATGTTATGATGTTATATGTAGGTATAATGTATATAGTATATACCTATAGGCTATAATAATATATATTTAGTATACAATCGCGATTGATAATATTCAATCACGATAAATATTGGTACGTTTTTGCCATATGTACAATATATATAATATTAAGTTTTATTAATATTCCACGCGAAAAATCTATAAACAGTACCTTTTACATAATTGTATATGTAGATTATAGGTAGATAATGATTCATGGAATAGCTAAAAAAAAGCTTCGATGTCATGAACGTGTCAGTAAAAATATCGGTTATTATTTTTTTGTTATTTTAATGACTGTTATTTTTTTTTTAATGAAATATTAAATTATCGCTAAAACATTACTCGTGTTTGGTGTACGATCGTTCTTTATTATTTAATATTTATTTAAATTATTATTATATATCGAGTTGGTTTACTCTGGGGCACAATTTAAATTTATTTTGAAAGTGTGTCAAATTTCAGTCTGCCTTATTTACACGGCTACTTCAAAAAATGTTTCACATTCTCATCTAAAAACAAAAAGTCCTATATAATATCGTTAATCAAATTCCTGCAAAGATTGACTTCATGAATAGTGAATAGTGAATACCTACTATATTCTATGATCATATTATGAATTATATTTAAATAATAATCGTTTCGAAAGTTAACAATATTCAGATATTAATGAATCTAATGATTAACAATTAGGTAAACGGCACTTGTTATCTCACATTTTTAATCTCATATTCCGAATTTCCTTAAAACTTT